TGGATATTGTGTTGGATATTGTGTTGGATATTGTGTTTGATATTGTGTTTGATATTGTGTTGGATATTGTGATGGATATTGTGTTGGATATTGTGTTGGATATTGTGTTTGATATTGTGTTTGATATTGTGTTGGATATTGTGATGGATATTGTGTTGGATATTGTGTTGGATATTGTGTTTGATATTGTGTTTGATATTGTGTTGGATATTGTGATGGATATTGTGTTGGATATTGTGTTGGATATTGTGTTTGATATTGTGTTTGATATTGTGTTGGATATTGTGATGGATATTGTGTTGGATATTGTGTTGGATATTGTGATGGATATTGTGTTGGATATTGTGTTGGATATTGTGTTGGATATCGTGTTGGATATTGTGTTGGATATTGTATTGGATATTGTGTTGGATATTTTTGGTGGATGTGTGGATATTGTGCTGGATATTGGGTAGAAAATTGTGTTGAAAATTGTGTTGGAAATTGTGGTGGATATTGTGATGGATATTGTGTTGGTTATTGTGTTGGATATTGTGTTGGATATTGTGTTGGATATTGTGTTGGATATCGTACGGTAAGGAGTGGCTTAAGATTGCGGCAGGAAGTGGCTTAAGATTGCGGCAGAAAGTGGCTTAAGATTACGACAAGAAGTGGCTTAAGATTACGGCAAGGAGTGGCTTAAGATTGCGGATAGAAGTGGCGCGGATTGTAGATTAGGATGTGACTGAAAGATTGGAGTAAATAAACAAACAATAAAAAGGTTTCAGAAACAAGGTAAATGATGAAACTAATGTAAATTAAAGTAAAGTTTCGTTCAGCGCTCGGGTTGAGGTTGGCGGTACCGTAGCAGCGTTCTAGGGTGGGAGATAGGAGGCAATATGCAATTGTTTGCATAAGCAAATGACGAAATAAAAAAATATGAGGAAGGTGAGGTAGGAGAGGCGGGTCGTGCCCTTGAATAAAACATGTTTTGGGGAGGAAATAGATTTTGCACCCAGGAAAAACCTTTTTCCCAGACAATTTTTTCCCTAATTTTTTTTTAGATAATTTTCCCCAATTTCCCCAACACAAAAACTGCTACAGGTATTACCATAGCTTCGGAAATTCAAAGTATTTAAAATACGCTAACAATGTTTCTCAGTGATTTACATATATATGTCTTCAGAAAGTAAAATACATTATAACCTCATTAGAAAAATCGTGTAAACATGGCATATTTTTTGTCGACCGAGTGAGTGTGGCCAGTTTTGGCTAAAGAAAGTTATTTTATTAAGATTTAATTAATATTCATCGTAAAATATTGTTTAAGCAATTTAATTATACGTTTTTTTATTAGGCAGTAAAATCCAATAAGTGATCCTGCTCTCAAGTTATCTTTGAATTGAAGACATGTCCAATATATGTAGTTAACCACAGAAATGAGCGGTCACGACGATATTCACGACGATAAAATTTAAATAGCATTTTCCCTATTATTGCACCGGCATAGATTGTTCGAAAAGAGCCTTGTAAAAAGTTGTAAGTTCGCGCGTAGAAATTTCCTCGTATATAAACTCTGTGGGTAGCCAACATTGGTAGAGAGGGTTCACTATAAAAGGGCTTGGAGTAGAGTGAGCTTGGAGCTTTTACCCCACTTTGTGCATATTTAATGACTATTAAGTGAACGGGTTAGGTTAGGGAGCGACTAAG